GGACATTTCGGAGTTATGGCGTCCGCGGCTGAACACTCGCACTGTAATACCAATCTCGACAGCGTGCAGTTGCTGCCCGAAGGAGTAAACATGATGAAGCACGTAAAAATCGTCGAACCGTGGGAGGAAGGCGACCCTACGCCCGTGCCGGATGACGCCACAGTTCACGCCACAAAAGGAGGCGATCGGTCGAGCAATTTCATGTCGGTCGTTTACGTAGATGATCACGGCCTCCTGAGAACCCAGCAATCGGCCGACGACTTGTCAGCGCTGACCGTGTCCGCGTCTTTAGCATCAGACTACGTTCGCTTGTTCGGCCCGGGAGAACCGGGGGAGACTCCTATACTCGCACCGAAGAAGAGTTCGGATTGGGACACGCAGCTTGATTTCTTAGGGTTCGTCATCGACTCGCACGAGCTAAAAATCTCTTTGACGACGAAGAAAGCAGAGGTCTTAAAAACAGCCTTAGAAATCGACTGGCGGCGCCACAAGCGTGAAGCGACAGCGCAAGAAGTGTTTAGCATAGCCGGGAAGCTGTGGAACCTCACGTACGTGGTTCGGGCCGGAAAGTACTTCGTCTGGAGGTTGTTGAGACTCACAGGACTCCACAGGAAACACACGAGAAACTGTAGCCACGTTGTACAACTAGGGAGAGAGTTCCACGACGACCTGGATTTTTTCAGGTGGGCAATCGAACACGAATTGCTCACAGCTGGAGAGTCGCTGAACGCCCCGTGCTACGGTGTCGTAAAACGCCAGCCAAAACGACGTTATCTATCAGACGCTAGTTTCGACGCCATTGGCGGCTTCTGTCCAGAGAAAAGGGTGTATTGGAGATACGACTTGCCCTTGGGCTTCGCAACCGAATTGAAACAAAAGGCCGCGCGTCGGGAGACCTGCAGCGTCACGATCAATCTACTCGAACTCGTGGGCATGGTAATGACCGCCTGGGTAATGCACAGTCTCGTAGGGGATCGCCCGAAAAATAACAACGACCCCGTCTTGATGCGCGGTGACAACATGGCGGCCGTCACATGATCAAACCGGTGCGGCGGGGCCAGAGACAAACGCGCGTGTTTGATGATGAGAATGCTAGGACGACTCGAGATTTCGGGAGAATGGAGTTACGAGGCAAAACACATCCCGGGCGTACAAAACACGCTCGCGGACGGGATTTCTCGATGGCCGAGGTCGGAACTAGCCGATAGGGTCCGAAGATTCACCAACACAAACGATTGGCGTGAGATACCACTCGGTTCACGAGGAGAAAAAGTGTGTTCCTTCGTGCTGCAGAAAAAGAACCTACAACCCCGTCACGATCGAACGTTATGGAATCTCATGATGACACCTCACTAAAAATCATCGACAAAACAACCCCCGTGACCTCCAACGTTATCCTCGAACCCTCCGCTTACGGACGCTTCAGGAACAGGGCGGGAAGGAGGGGGGATGAGCACGGAAGTCGCGCGGTTGGTGGATACTTTAGTGAGCGCGTCGATCGGGGGAAGCACGCACAAGGTGTATGCCGCGAATTGGGAGACATGGTTGGATTTTATGAAACACAAGGGTAAAGAACCGTGGTTGAACTCGATGGACGAGCCCGAGATCATCGCGCTCCTCCTCGAATTTATGACGTGTCGTTTGTTTTCGTTCAACAACCAGCAGTCCACAGTTCGGGGATACCTCGCGGCTATCAAGTTTTACCATAAGCTATGTACGGGGTGGGAGCTTCCCACGTCGCACTGTATGATTACGGCGGCAGGGAAAGGGATTGATCGCATTCGAGGGATGACGGGCAAGCAAGCGCAAGTGAGGCTGCCCCTCACGTGGTCGACGTTGTCGCAAGGCTACCATACGGTTGCGAGCGCTCCGGATGGAGGAAAAGTTTTCTGGTTAGGACTGACGCTGTCGTATTTTCACTTGTGCCGAGCTTCAGAATTGTTCGCGTACGCGAACGGCCTCGTCCATCCAGATTTCTGTCTGACGCGTGACTGCTTGAGGTTTTTTCAAGGAGACATTCAAGTGGAGACTGAAGATAGAGCGCGCGCGGATTCAGTCAGGATTCATTTCGTGGCGTCGAAAGCAGATCAGAATCGAGAGGGATGCACGATCACACGCACCCGCAGCCCGAGATCGGAGGAATCTGGTAGGGCGCCTTTCGGAGCCTTCGAAGCGATCGTGGAGCTCCTGAACGTACACCCGAGCCTTCCCGGACGTGCCCCTTTGATGACGAGGATGGGTGCATACGGGTGGAAGGTGGTTACTCGCGTGGAAGCTGTAGTCGCGCTGAGGAGGATGGTTGCTTGTGCAGGGAAGGATCCGGCACAGTACGCATTGCACTCGGGTCGCATTGGTGGCGCCACGCAATTAGCCGCGCAAGGCGTGTCGGACTTGCAGATTCAGCTGGCTGGGCGTTGGAAGTCGCGAGCGTTCATGGTGTACGTAAGGGAAGCGGAAGAAGGAGCAGAAGCAGTTTCCGTGGGACTTACAGGAGGAAGATGAGAGTAAAACAGTACTCTCAGCCTGCACAATGGCGTGGTTTTCAGATAGCTTGGAAGAGGCTATTCTCGTACCGGATTGGCTGAGTCGTGAATTCGAGTATCGTATAGGGACATCGTAGGGGCAGGACCCACAAGAGTGGAGGTACGGTTCGTCTACATGTGATCTATATTGTCTCGGGTTTTCATCATTTTTCACGTAGAAGATTAGAAAAATAATGCCAGAATTCTTGAGCCTATAACAAAATGTAGCGTTCAGAAGGAAAGCGTTGTCTGTGGAAGGCGTTTGTTGAATTCGAAAGAAAGCAGGGGACGGGTGCTGAGCGTCCCCTGCGTGCAAAGTCTTCAGTCTTCTTGTGCACCCGCGTCTCGGGGAAGAGAACGCTAGTGCAGTCATACAACTAGCTGAGGAAGCAAGAGGAAGGAGCGTGGAAGTTAGGGCCTTGATCGATTTTCCCACCCGCCCACCCTAGCGCTCAAGAGAGGGAGGGAATCAGGTTGCACAAAGTTGATCGGGTCAACGTCGTGTAGTTTTCCACGTAGTAGTAGTGTAATAGTGGTTTTCAGATAGCTTGGAAGAGGCTATTCTCGTACCGGATTGGCTGAGTCGCGAATTCGAGTATCGTATAGGGACATCGTAGGGGCAGGACCCACAAGAGTGGAGGTACGGTTCGTCTACATGTGATCTATATTGTCTCGGGTTTTCATCATTTTTCACGTAGAAGATTAGAAAAATAATGCCAGAATTCTTGAGCCTATAACAAAAATTAGATAGGTCTACACTGCTGTAGACTAGTGTACTGCTGTAGATCATTGATCGAGAATGGGGAATTCTCAGTACAAAGCTCCCAGCGCAACCAAAGCAGAATTTGCGTCCCCCCCGCCAACGATGTGCTCTGCAATGTGCGGTGTATCTACAGCCTAGCATTTACAGCAGCAGTTAAATCAAGAATGTTGAGCTCCGACCGGTGCTAAGGCTCATCATCACAAGGGAGACAAAGCGATGACGAAGAAGAAGACCACGTGGGGAAAGGACCCGCAAGCCAAGAAAGGCGAGAACCCCGGGGCATGATTAGGCATGTCCCCGCTTTGGTTCTTCCCTAGTCCACGCTTTAGTCCCCAACAATCCAATCACCCCGCTCGCGGGGAATAGGCGAAGCTATTAAAACCCACTCGACGTTCGCATGAGTACGAGACGGAAGGGGGAAAAAAGGAAGAGGGCAATCGATGACGACCGTGACCATGGTATCTATCGTATGGGCGGCAGCATTCTTAGCAGGAAAGGGCACTTTTTGATGGGTAGACGGGAACCGTGAAGCACCGTCATTTCTCCGGTTGAAAAACACGGCAGAGAGTGACCGAGGACAGTCAGTCCCGATGGGTTAGCCGACCGTGTTGAAAGCCAAGATGAGGTGGAATTTATTTTTTGATCGTCCCGGCAAATGTCTGGAGCACGACGAATTCTACCACCTCAAACAAACGGTAAGCCGCGAAAGAAACCAGAAACCAGAAATAAATATTGGTGTGGAAAAGGCAGTCCGTTCAGACGAGAACAGCACGAAAACCTATGACGACGAGGGCGAAGATGAGGTCTAGATATTGCAAGGAAAGCAGGAAAGCGTCTGCCTAACTATTTATTGAAACCTTGTGGAGACAAGCGTCATGATTCGTCTGCCATGTAGCACTCAAGGGCGGCGACGAGGGGAGGGAGTGAAAGCGACAAGCCCAGGCGCGGAAATCACCCAGCGAGGCGCAAGGACAAAGTGGACTCAAGTCCGACCAGACAAAAAGCAGCAAGGTTTAAAAAAAGAAGGGGAGATGGCGAGGGGTACACGGCGGAAACAAGTGAGTAAATAATACCCGCGGGAAGTCGAAATATGCGCGGAAAATACAGTCCGACCAGGCGAGGAAATCAGGTCGAAAACCTCTGAGGTCGAGGACGACGTGGCCAAGATAAGGCAAGGCAGGAGAGGGTCTAGCTGACAAATGAAACCTCGTGGCGACGAGGGCCATGATACGACGAGGAAAAAATGATTATATCACGGCGAGGCAGTTGTCATCGGAGGTGATTGGAAATAAGGGCTTCCCCTCTTTATGGACGAATACACCATCGAAATGAGAGCGGCCTAACTGGGGCCAAGACCGAACATAGGTGTCAGAATTTCGCTGACAGAAACTGAAACCGTATCGAGCTTCAGAATCTTTCCTCCACATGATATGACCGACCCACGGGTCGGCAATTCAAAATCGCCCTTCCCGTGACGCCATCTGTCTGTGTTTGAACCACCGTGATAGGTCTCACACCAGCGCCATCGAAGGTTCTTCGGTTTGGCACTTGACTCTGTGTTTTCGACACAAGTTTTATTACTACTATTACAGAGGGGAGACACGTTGGAACCTCAAACCAACAGCGTTGGTGGCTAGAAAAGACGCTCCGGACGTCGTCTCACGAGCGCCACTCAATCTTGTAACCGCTACCCGCATGCTTCCAGAAGCATTTCTTCGCCGTTCATCAACAAACAAGGGCTATGACCTATGAGAACACACACACACGTACCTCCCTAGCGCGAGAAAAAGCAAGGAAAGCAAAAAATACCAATTGGAAAATACGCCTGGTAGGCTACATGAACAACCGGCGAGGGAAACCCCGCAGAAGTAACACCAATCGCCTGTCTCGTCCATCCCACGCGCAGGCACGGGGGGGGGGAAAGAGCACGCGTCACAATCACGGCACACGACAGAAGTACCACCAGTACAAAGCAAAAAGAAATAAAGGGACTCCTACGTAAAAAAGAACGTGTACCAGAAAGAGCATACCTCCAAATATGACACTAAATAAAACTTACGGACATTTTATCCGATCTTGTTTAGCGTGACAGAAGCAGCACACACATCGGGAGCATGGCGACGTGCTCCTGACACCCTACAATAACACGTGGCCCAATGGCTCACCAAGACAAAAGAAAGCACAAACGTGCCAACATCTCACAAGTAAAAGAACACTATCATCGACCATTTCCGTATCGTCTACAACGCTTTTCCTGTCAGTGCCGCCTAGCTTCTGCCCCTTATTTTCGCAGAACGCAGGAGCACCTAGTCGCGGCACAATAGGTTGACGCAGATGCTACATGTCAGCGCCAAGACAATCATTGTTACTAGGAAAGCAGAGGGGTCTGGTCGCCAGGCGAGTATGGCCGGAAGAAAGAAAGGTTTTGTTCCTTCTTGCGTTTTCCCTCCCATTCTTGTGAATAACCTCTACTCAGATCTACTCAAGAAGCTGCTGACGGTGACCAAATCTCCCGGCTACGACCAGAATCATTTTCACCCCTTCGAATCCGGCAAAATCATGTAGGCCTGCTACCGAGAACACGAGAAGGAAAGGTATGTAACACTTTTGCGGTTGCGGACTGCCTATACAGTGCATACACGCTCGGCACAACCAAAACCAGGCTTGAAGTAGATGGGTGCTGCCGAATTTAAGGGAGGGACAGCAAGCAACCACCACCAAATCGCAAGAACAACGCAGGGACTTGTACGGAAGTACAAGAGCCGACAAGTCTGTGGAGAAAACTATACACCCGGAAGGCAAGCCGTGCCAAGCCACCACCAACAAAGCGAAAAACATGCTTAAGGGTTTAGAGCCCATGCTCGACAGGCGAGAGCCATGTCCGACGAAGACGATGCTCGGGCGAAAGACATGAACGGGCCAACAAAATCGATAACACTACAATTGGAGCCGCATAAACAGTCCCCATCTCCAACAACACGAAAAAGACTACCACTACGGGGTAAAGGAAGTGAAGGAAGCGAACAGACTACAGTAGCACGTTTCTTGTTCGCTAGCGAAAGACGAACTAAAGACGAAGACAACAGGACGAGAACCAACACCAAACGTCACACCAAACGCTACACCATCAAACCAACTCGACATCCCACGAAAAGCTACAGCAGAACAACAGACGAGATCGAACACAACCCCAGGAAAAACAAATCCACCGAACGGCATCAAACGCAACACTTTTCGCAACAGAACCAGGGGGGCCAGATTTTCAAGACAGACAACCTACCGAACCCGCAAAGCACACACACACACAACAACAAAAAAAACGAAAACAAAAACTTTATCTCGATTCTCATGAAAACGACGGTGGTGGCGATTTCGGGGCGCAGCAGAGGAATGGGTGCACGCCTGCTCCCTACCTGGTTGTTATTCAACAGAAGCCCCCCTGCCCCACAACAACCACCACCACCACCAAGAGAAAAATATCACGCCCGGTCATGACATGATAAACACTTTACGGGAAAAAGTGCCTTGGGTCCGAAAAGTGCAGGGCGACAAGACACAAACAACAGTGCCTTGTGCACGAAATAGTGGGCGACACACTCTCATATAGATCATCGCGCCAACCGGCGGAAGACTGGTTGACGAATGGGATACACGTCTCCCGCTCGCCAGGGCTGCACAGTGGCTGGCGCTCCAATGCCATCCACATCCACCTAACCACCGCTACCAGCTGCTCCCACATTGCTTTGGGGACACAACACACCAGGCGGCCATGACGGTGCTATCAGTGCCAATGTGACGCACAGCAGCAGCGGTACTCCACACAACAGCAGAGCCTTCAAACCGCGGGGACTCTTGGGTCCCCCCCCTTCTCCCGTCCTAGATCAACCGCCGCCCACCCACACCGAAGGAAACCCCACACACGCCCTCCCATCATGCCGCCAAGAACGCTACGTATCTTACCGATGCAAACCCGCTAAACGTTACGCATACTCAAAAGCACAAGAACGGCTCAAACACTTGATGCTCGATCGCTGTCACGCGCACGCGGACATCTTGAGCTCCTGAAGAGCAAAAAGCGGAGCAGCACGTACAACCGGGGAGCGTGTTCACACACGTGCGGTAGGTCGATCGGAGAGAGAGAGAGAGAGAGAGAGAGAGAGAGAGAGAGAGAGAGATAGGGGTGGGTTGTGAGGCAGGGGGAGGTGGAGTGAACTGGGTCAACGCGGCGTACCGCAGCAGCAGCGTGATGAGTACGTAGCAAGGATGTGGTTACGCACCGAAATACGGCCGCATCCATCAGCAAAGACTACTACCCGTGGTACTGCCGCACATATTGACATCTCTGCTCACCATAAGACTAACGCACCGAAATGCCGCCGCGACCGTCAGCGAGGACTTCTCGAGGCACAACTTCACACATTAAGATCTCTGATGAAACCCCCCTTCCCCTTACCCCGTCAGCGAAAATCATCCTAGGATGCTCCAAGCGCACAAGTAATGCAGCCGTCAGGGCAGAATTGGGGATACAATCCCTACGGTCGGGAAGAGACGCAAGGACGCTGACATGGCAGTACCGCATGTGCGGGATGGGAGAGGAGAGGAGAGGTTGCCGAGAATAGTATGGGAGGCGAAGTGGGCAAACAAAAAGAGGGGTAGACAACCCACGTAATGGGTCAAGGTTATAGACGAGTTCGAAATCGACGAAGATGAAACGCTGGAAACGGAGGGTCTACAGGGGTTCAAGGTGAAGATATCTGCTGCTTGTGCCGAGAGAGAAGAACACAATCTAAGGAAAGAAACCAAGGAGAAGGAGGGTCTAGAAGTGTACGGAATGTTGAAAGAGGGAATAGGGTTCAAGGATTACCTACATGGACCAATGGATGCAGGGACAAAGCTTAAGGTCAAATTCAGGACCGGGGACATAGGCCTTCGAGAACGTCGACGAAGACATAGGACGGTAGACGACGAAGACGACAAGTTCAAATGTGATTGCGGCTTCGAATGCGAAGACCGTGTTCATGTAGTCGCGGAATGTCAGTTGTACGAAAAGGAGAGGGAAGTGTACATGACTGAGCTGGGAAAAATACAAGGGATGTACAGGGAGATGTTTGAGGCATGGAATAGAGAGGAGAAGACGGTAGCCGTACTGGGGAGTAGGAAGTGGTTTGAAAAGGCGGGAAGTGATATCGTTAGGATAGACAGACCAGGGAAGACATTTTTGAGCCAACTTTGGCAAAGTAGGAAGGAACGATTGGCCATCGGTGATCGGTCCTGTGGGAACAATGCTCCGTCCTCTCGAGGACGTCTGGTCGAACCGCTAAGGCATGCAAAACATAAGAGTACGCCCCCCCCCCCCCCCCCCCCCCTTGTCTCTTTTTGGTTTGTCGGTGATCCGG